ATACACTAAACGAAGCAAAATCTCGAGTTCTACAATCCTATGTATAATCAGTTTAGTCCATTATCTGAATACGCGTCCTGATTATAAGAAAAATTCAAAAAATACCGAAAATCCGCCTTCAAAATGTCAACATCCGATTTGGGTTGATGCAGTGATTATATCAAAAAATCATACATCAAAACCATATTGTCTATGGGGTATTCTTCAACTTAGCCACTGATCACATGTGCGTGCCTTGTAAAACTACACACAAAGCCACACAAAACCAGTAAGGAAAATAGTAAAGTCGGGCGGGGCCGACTATATGATACCCTTCACCACTATGGGTATATTAAAAAGGACTATTATCATGAAATTGTATGATATAATATATTGGATATTTATCTAAATGTGAAACGACCTAGATCTATCCATAAACATGTAATTCGTTTGTTACAATGGAACAAAAGTATGTAAATCAACTTCAAACAAATATCATCCGTTGGGCTATGAGGAGTTTGATGCACAATTTACTTATATATGGATGCTATATCCAAATATGAACCGATTTCAACGAAACTTGCCACAGGTTAGGTTATACTAATTTCAGTACATTTTGTTCCTATCAGACATATATTGGTTCCTTGGTGCGTCAATTACTTAAAATCAATCTAAAATATAAGGGAGCTATATCTAAATCTCAACCGATTTTCACTAAACTTGGCACACATCATTCTGGATTAAATTCAAAACGCTATGCAACATAAGAACTTGGTACCTTATTTAGATTAAATTGGACGAAAATATATATATCTAGATCTGAATCGATTTTCACGAAACTCAGCACACATCATTCCAGCATCAATTCAGAACGCTAAGCCAAATTTTGTGCAAATCGAAAGATACATGTGGGGCACCATTTACATTAAATCGGACGAAAATATATATGGGAGTTATATTAAAGTCTTGACCGATTTTCACGAAACTTGACACACATCATTCAAAACGAGATGCAACATAACAACTTGGTACATTATTTAGATTAAACGGGCGAAAATATATATATATATATAGATCTAAATCGATTTTCACGAAACTCAGCATATATCATTCCAGCATCAATTCAGTACGTTATACCAAATCTCGTGCAAATCGAAAGATATACATAGAATCACTTTTTAAGCCGATTTATGCATGTCAGTCCGTCCGTCCGTCCGTCTGTCTGTCCATGTATTTTTTGAGCAAAGTACAGGTCGCATTTGTGATCCGATTTGGATGAAATTTGGTACAGTTCACTTATTTGGACCAAGGACGAACCCTATTGAAATTGGGAAAAAATCGGTTCAGATTTAGATGTAGCTCCCATATATATTTTCGTCCGATTTTAGGTAAAAAGTGCACCATAGTCCCTATATATCCTTCGATTTGCACGAAATTTGGCAAAGCGTACTTAATTAAGTCTAGAAAGATATGTGTAAAATTTCGTGAAAATCGGTTCTGATTTTGATATAACTCCCATATATATTTTCGTCCGATTTTATGTAAATAGTGCACCAAAGTCCCTATATATTCTTCGATTTGCACGAAATTTGGCAGAACGATGTGTGTTAAATTTCGTGAAAATCGGTTCTGATTTAGATATAGCTCCCATATATATTTTCGTCCGCTTTTAGGTAAATAGTGCACCAAAGTCCCTATATATCCATCCATTTGCACGAAATTTGGATTTATAAGTAAATGAAGAACTCAAAATGTGGCCGAAAGAAAAAAAAACATACTGAAATAAGTGTAACCTAAACCGATGAAATCGGTTTAGATTTCCATATTTTTCTTTAAATTTATTTACATAATTTTGTCCCATTGTAAGAAGAACTCTATATCTGACCAAAATTTAGTATAGGTTGCAGAATGACATGTTTAATTTCATGTTAATGGCCTTTCAAAAATGCGACGTTTGTTAGGATTCCATCTGTTGGATATACCCAAAGTGGTGAAGGGTATCATATAGTCGGCCCTGCCGACTTTACTACTTTTCTTACTGTTTTTTATATCCTTCACCACACTGTGGTACAGGGTATTATGTCTTTGTGCATATGTTTGTAAAAGGCAAAAGGAAACGAGATAGACCCATGGTTCCTTTTGATAATATGCATAGAATCACTTTTTAAGTCGATTTATGCATGTCCGTCCGTCCGTCCGTCTGCCTGTCCATGTATTTTTGTGAGCAAAGTACAGGTCGCAATTATGATCCAAATTGGATCATAATTGCGACACAGGTCACTTATTCGGCCCAAGGACGAACCCTATTGAAATTGGGAAAAATCGGTTCAGATTTAGATATAGCTCCCATATATATATTTAACCGATTTAATGTAAACGGTCCCTATATATATTTCGATTTGGACGAAATTTGGTAGAGCCTAATCATTTAAGTCTAGAATGATGTCTGCCAAGTTTCGTGAAAATCGGTCCAGATTTAGATATAGCTCCCATATATAGTTTCGTCCGATTTCATGTACATGGTGCCCCAAAGTCCCTATATATCTCTTGATTTGCATGAAATTTAGCATAACGTACTGAATTAAGCCTAGAGTGATGTCTGCAAAGTTTCGAGAAAATCGGTACAGATTTAGATATAGCTCCCATATACAGTTTCGTCCGATTTCATGTACATGGTGCTCCAAAGTCCCTATATAGCTTTCGATTTGCACGAAATTTGGCAAAACGTACTGGATTGAGCCTAGAATTATGTCTGCCCAGTTTCGAGAAAATCGGTCCAGATTTAGATATAGCTCCCATATATAGTTTCGTCCGATTTCATGTAAATGGTGCACCAAAGTCCCTATATATCCTTCGATTTGCACGAAATTTGGCATAACGTACTAAATTGAGCCTAGAGTGATGTCTGCCTAGTTTCGAGAAAATCGGTCCAGATTTAGATATAGCTCCCATATATAATTTCGTCCGATTTCATGTACATGGTGCTCCAAAGTCCCTATATAGCTTTCGATTTGCACGAAATTTGGCAAAACGTACTGGATTGAGCCTAGAATTATGTCTGCCCAGTTTCGAGAAAATCGGTCCAGATTTAGATTAGCTCCCATATATAGTTTCGTCCGATTTCATGTAAATGGTGCACAAAAGTCCCTATATATCCTCCTATTTGCACGAAATTTGGCATAACGTACTAAATTGAGCCTAGAGTGATGTCTGCCTAGTTTCGAGAAAATCGGTCCAGATTTCTTTATTGCTCCCACATATAGTTTCGTCCGATTTCAGGCAAATGGTGCAACAAAGTCGCTATATATCTTTCGATTTGCACGAAATTTGGCATAACGTACTGAATTGAGCTTAAAGTGATGTCTGCCTTGTTTCGTGAAAATCGGTCCAGATTTATAGCTCCTTTTATTATAGATTGATTTTAAGTAATTGACGCACCAAGGAACCAATAGGCTGATAGTAAAGTTCTGAAATTAGTATAACCTAACCTGTGACAGGTTTGTTTGAAATCGCTTTATGAATAGATCTAGGTAGATTCACATTTAGATAAATATCACATATTTTTTTTCATCCAATTTTACGTTAATAGTCCGGTTTAATATACCCATAGTGGTGAAGGGTATCATATAGTCGGCCCCGTCCGACTTTACTACTTTCCTTACTGGTTTTTACATTACCGCCATCACAGCTTCAACGTAACTTATTATTTATTACCAATATTCTAAGATTTTAACAAGAACACTTTTATTTAAATAATTTTGTAATTTCCCATATTTATGTATGCTGTTATACATGAAGAAACGAAGTATTTGAATAAAAATTGAGTAATTGTGAAACTAGGTAGTTATTTCGGTCTAAAAAAATCTCTCGATTTTTTTTTGTTTACGTTCAAAATATATTTTATTTTCACAATTGCTCAACTTTCTTTCAAATACTTAATATTATTATAGATTTATTAAATGTATAAAAGTATTAAGTGTTCGAATGAAAATTGTTTAGTTGTAAAAATAGGAAGATATTTTGGAATCAAACAAAAAGTTCACCCGAATTTTGTATACATTATACAGTTAATGTATTAACAAAAGTCTACTTGGAAACAACCCAATGTTTTTTGTTTTTGGGTAAACCATATTTCTAATAGCAGATCTATCTCCTCCCTACACTACCAATTACATCGCAATCACTCCTAATTTCATTTAAAGTTTTCAATTCCATATAGAATTGTTCTTCATTCGGATGATTATGGTCAATATACTTTTTTGCCACAAAACACTTTCCATTTTCCACATATCCTAGCTTTGCATGTTTTAATTCTGTCTTAAATTTTTGAATACTTCTGTATTCAGTTTTATATATCAACCAGTTTTTCTTCTAATGTTTTTTTTTGGCCGGCAATGATATCGAATTCCATGGCGCTTACAACTCTACGTTCTTCGATCAATTAGTTGCTAACAATAATTGCAGTCGGTACCTCAGAAATAAATATAAAGGATTTTTTTGCTAGTTTCTCACTATTTTGTAATTTTAGAAAAATGTATTTCACCATTTTTCATGACAAATGGATAACACCATTTTCCACGAAAATGGTTCGAAGATTTCCAAAAGCTGGCATGTGACATAGAAAATTTCGTTCGTTGTTTTTCCCGCATGCTTCATTTCAATATGGGCTGAGCGTAATTGGACTAAAATCACGTAACACGACTGTTCTTTAAGTTATACGGTTCGACTGTTGGATCAGCTTGATTTATTGTTCCAACACTTGAGATGCTTCAGCCACCTTTTCCAGTGTTAGATGTAAAGTTATATCCTTTCCTTACAATTAGGTGTATACATCTGGTTCCACCATATAAAATATTTTTGATATCTCTAGCAACCAAATAAAATTGGACTCTTTCATCAAGTGGTTGCTTTATTCGATTACTGTTATGAATAAGTGTGCTATAATAAAACTAAAAAAATGAAGTGCAAGATGATTTTTGTTGTTGTTGAGTATCAATGTCCATGTAAAATGTAAACGAACGACATTTAGAGAGTACCAGGAGCTGGAGCAACATTGACGTTGGCAACTGATTGTAAATGACCATCTAAAGGAGCAGTGTGAACGGCACCACGAGTCTTAGCAACATATGTGCCTGGACCAGCACCGAGAACATGAGCAGAAAGGTCAACACTGGGAGCACCCCAATGACCAGCCCATGGACCCCAATGACCGGCTACAACCGGACCAGAAACAGCAGTGTATGAAAGACCACCACCTACAACCTGAGGTACTCCCCATGGCAAAACATAAGACTGGACGCCGAAGGCCAAAGCCAAGGTGAACAAAATTGTGGCAGCGAACTGAAAATATAGCAGAAAAGGATAAATACGATTAGTCGATGATATTAAAGGTTTGATGTCGAAAATTCCACTTACTTTCATCTTGTAAGAAAAGTTGGTTTGCTTCTTGTTGCTGATAGCTTGAACTGTAGTTCTGATCTGATTTTCCTCTACGAAAGCGAAATTATTTTATATCAAATATCGAGCACTGCGAGCACTCAGTGATTAGCTTTAGGGTTGGGAACATTAGTTGATATTTTATTGGTTAAGTGTTTTCAGCGCATTTCTTAAAGAATTAACTGCATCTGTTTGTAGTTTGTTCTTAATGGCTAATGGTTTTTGCTGCCTGTTCGGTTTATGCGTCAATTATAATTGTGTCCGTCTGCTGTTGTTGCTGGGTGTTCGACTGACACCTATCCCTCCAGCCACAGTGTGAAATGTTTAATACTAATAAATTGTTTTACAAATGCTCATATTAATGTACATATGTAAGCAATTGCATTTTATAAATACACATTTACAAGGTGTAATTGTTAAAATTATCGTATCCACCCATCATTAATATTTATCCGATAATTTTTTAATATTACGTAACGTGTAACGTATTTCCTCTGAAAATATGGAATAAATTATGGACAGACACCATCAAAGTGTAATGGGGACATCAAAGTATACCCTACATGAATGCCAGACAGCTTTCAACAATGTCGGCACCGAAACACTTATCCAATCCTTAAACCTCTTTAAATAGGACAAACACTCATAGAGTTAGATATATGATAAGTAATGCATAGGTAAGCTCCAGCCATCACGACATAACTATTAGGAACCGATTCGGGGTTGAGCCAGTGAGTTTTTACCTAGGATAAGAAAAAAAATATTTTATTGTTATTGGGGAGGATGAATCTGAGTGGGAGAATGTCCTTGTTACGAAAATAGTTCTTCTTGAAAATAGTTCTTCAAAACCTTTAGCGCGGAACAGCTAACTGAACTGAATTTAACTAATGATCTCTGCTTGAGTAAAATATGAACAAACGTATTTTACGCAAGAACGTGGAACACCATTGCTGTTGTTGGACTAAAACGTTGGTTATGCTTCCCTTTGTTTTTTTTTTTTTGATCCATTGCCATCCTCTCAAGGACTACCTGTACCATGTTAAACTCTAATACAAAACATTTGGACAAAATTATGTAAATCAATTTAAAGCAAATGTTAATCGGACACCCGTTGATTAATTGGATAAATATTTGATACACATGAGCATTTTGCGGCAGCTATATCTAAATCCGACCTCAACGTGACTTGCCAGAGATAAATTTATATTAACTATAGTTCATTGTACAGAATTGTGTTGCAATCGGACAAATTTTGGGTCTTTAGTGCACAATTTACATAAAATCGGTAGAAAAAATATGAACCGATTTCCACGAAACTTAGCACGCATAATTCTAGACTTAATTCAGTACGTCATGCCCAATATTGTGCAAATCGAAAGTAGGGACACAATTTACATGAAATAAAATCATTGTAGACTTAATTCAAAAAATCATGCAAATCGAAAGATATATAGGGACTTTGGTACATCTCAATTTCAATAGGGTCCATTGCTCACCTCTCAAAAAGTGACATTTCATAAGGAAAGCCAGAGATTAATTTATATTAATTTCAGTACGTTGTGTCAATCGGCCTAGCTATTTTCACCGAAACTATGAAACTTTGCACACATTATTCTAGACTTAATTTAGTAATTCGTGCAAATCAAAAGATTTGCAGCGACTTTTGTGCTCCATTTACCAAAAATCGGATGAAACTACATAAGGGAGCCATATCTAAATATGAACCTATTTTCACGAAACTTAGCACACGTCATTCTAGACTTAATTCAGTATGCTATGCGAAAATTTGTGCAAATCTAATGATTTTCAAGGACTTTAGTCCACCATTTACTTAAAATCTAAATCTGAACCGATTTTCACGAAACTTTGCACACGTCATTCTAAACTTAGTTTAATACGCTATGCCAAAATTCGTGCAAATCTAATGATTTTCAGGGACTTTGGTGCACCGTTTACTTAAAATCGGGCGAAAGTATATATGGGAGCTATATCTAAATCTGAAACGATTTACACGAAACTTAGCACACATCATTCTAGACTTAATTTAGTTCACTATGCCAAAATTCGTGAAAATCGAACGATTTGCAGGGACTTTGAAAATCGGGCGAAACTATATATGTGAGCTACATCTAAATCTGAACCGATTTCCCGAAATTTAGCACACTTAATTCAGTACGCTATGCCAAAATTCGTGCAAATCTAATCATTTTCAGGGACTTTGGTGCACCATTTACCTAAAATCGGAAGAAAATATATATGGGAGCTATAGCTAAATCTGTCTAAATCTATCTAAATCTGAACCGATTTTCTCCATATTCAATAGGGTTCGTCCTTAGGCCAAACCAATGGGCTGTGCCAAATTTCATCCAATTCGGATCATAAATGCGACCTGTACTTTGCTCACAAAAATACATGGACGGACGGACATGCATAGATCGACTCAGAAAATGATTCTATGCATATTCTCAAAAGGAACCATAGGTCTATCTCGATTATTTTTGTCTGTTACAAACATATGCACAAAGACATAATACCCTGTAACAAAGTGTGGTGGAGGGTATAATTAGCCGGACATTTGTATGGGGACTATTTCAAAACATTAACCTATGTTGAATAATTTCTAGAAGTTAGCCAAGTTGTGCCAAATTATAGACACATTAATAAGAAAATTCGGTTATTTTTTTTATTTTATTAATTTCGAAAATGAGGCGGGGCCTTTATGTGGGGTCTACATCAAAACTTGGACCTATATAGACAATTTTCACCAAAAATGTGTTTTACAAAAGACGACTCTATGCAAAATTTTGGCGATCTATCTCAATTCCTTCAGAAAAAAAGGTGATTACAACAGACGGACGGACATGGCTAGATCGTCTTAGACTTTTACCCTGATCAAGAATATATACCCTCCGCCATACTATGGTGGAGGGTATAAAACAACATATTAGAATGTATTAAAATATAAAGTGACATAATAACAAATGTGGTGAAAATATAGTAAATATGTAGTTTTATTA